GTGTTTGTCTTCTGAATTGCCGAGCCGGGAGACAGCAACAGGCCGGCCGTGTCCCCCGATGGAGGAGGACCCGGCTCTTCACTCTTCCTCTGCCCCGGAGGACCATTCCCTCTTCATAAACATCCAGCGTCCCAAACGCATTACTGTCAGGGGGGGACTCGACGACCCCTTCCATGGTGACGTGGTGAATGCCGTGCGAGTCCCGGTGATAGCCCCCGCCGTGGTCATGTCCAGCGAAGTAACACACCACACTCCCATGTGACTCGATGACTCGGAGGATCTCTTTATAGTTCCAGGCCAGGCAGTTAGAGGGTTTGGCTTTGGGGTGGATTGGAACGTGACCTGAAATAAAGGGAACAAAGTAAGACAGAAATCTCACCATTGTGGGAGGGGCAGAGACATTGTGGGAGGGGCAGAGACACAAACTACTGGGGGGAATCTCACCATTGTGGGAGGGGCAGAGACACAAACTACTGGGGGGAATCTCACCATTGTGGGAGGGGCAGAGACACAAACTACTGGGGGGAATCTCACCATTGTGGGAGGGGCAGAGACACAAACTACTGGGGGGAATCTCACCATTGTGGGAGGGGCAGAGACACAAACTACTGGGGGGAATCTCACCATTGTGGGAGGGGCAGAGACACAAACTACTGGGGGGAATCTCACCATTGTGGGAGGGGCAGAGACACAAACTACTGGGGGGAATCTCACCATTGTGGGAGGGGCAGAGACACAAACTACTGGGGGGAATCTCACCATTGTGGGAGGGGCAGAGACACAAACTACTGGGGGGAATCTCACCATTGTGGGAGGGGCAGAGACACAAACTACTGGGGGGAATCTCACCATTGTGGGAGGGGCAGAGACACAAACTACTGGGGGGAATCTCACCATTGTGGGAGGGGCAGAGACACAAACTACTGGGGGGAATCTCACCATTGTGGGAGGGGCAGAGACACAAACTACTGGGGGGAATCTCACCATTGTGGGAGGGGCAGAGACACAAACTACTGGGGGGAATCTCACCATTGTGGGAGGGGCAGAGACACAAACTACTGGGGGGAATCTCACCATTGTGGGAGGGGCAGAGACACAAACTACTGGGGGGAATCTCACCATTGTGGGAGGGGCAGAGACACAAACTACTGGGGGGAATCTCACCATTGTGGGAGGGGCAGAGACACAAACTACTGGGGGGAATCTCACCATTGTGGGAGGGGCAGAGACACAAACTACTGGGGGGAATCTCACCATTGTGGGAGGGGCAGAGACACAAACTACTGGGGGGAATCTCACCATTGTGGGAGGGGCAGAGACACAAACTACTGGGGGGAATCTCACCATTGTGGGAGGGGCAGAGACACAAACTACTGGGGGGAATCTCACCATTGTGGGAGGGGCAGAGACACAAACTACTGGGGGGAATCTCACCATTGTGGGAGGGGCAGAGACACAAACTACTGGGGGGAATCTCACCATTGTGGGAGGGGCAGAGACACAAACTACTGGGGGGAATCTCACCATTGTGGGAGGGGCAGAGACACAAACTACTGGGGGGAATCTCACCATTGTGGGAGGGGCAGAGACACAAACTACTGGGGGGAATCTCACCATTGTGGGAGGGGCAGAGACACAAACTACTGGGGGGAATCTCACCATTGTGGGAGGGGCAGAGACACAAACTACTGGGGGGAATCTCACCATTGTGGGAGGGGCAGAGACACAAACTACTGGGGGGAATCTCACCATTGTGGGAGGGGCAGAGACACAAACTACTGGGGGGAATCTCACCATTGTGGGAGGGGCAGAGACACAAACTACTGGGGGGAATCTCACCATTGTGGGAGGGGCAGAGACACAAACTACTGGGGGGAATCTCACCATTGTGGGAGGGGCAGAGACACAAACTACTGGGGGGAATCTCACCATTGTGGGAGGGGCAGAGACACAAACTACTGGGGGGAATCTCACCATTGTGGGAGGGGCAGAGACACAAACTACTGGGGGGAATCTCACCATTGTGGGAGGGGCAGAGACACAAACTACTGGGGGGAATCTCACCATTGTGGGAGGGGCAGAGACACAAACTACTGGGGGGAATCTCACCATTGTGGGAGGGGCAGAGACACAAACTACTGGGGGGAATCTCACCATTGTGGGAGGGGCAGAGACACAAACTACTGGGGGAAATCTCACCATTGTGGGAGGGGCAGAGACACTAAATAACGGGTTTACTAAATCATAGATTGATTGACACTTAAATTGTTATCAGGGGAGAGCACTTACCGGCAATAATGACCCTCTCGTTGTGTTGGTCACAGTATGTGAGGACTTTATCAAGCCATGAGAGTTGCTTAGAGCCAAGACCGCCATTAAAGTCTACCAGGTGGATATTGGAGTCTACATGAAGAAATATATTTATTTATTATACACAAATGAACAAACACGTTAATGGGAGCTGCATTGCCAAATTGTCTACCAGCAGCTGCCGCATGACCTTTGCGGGGGTCCCAATCGGAGAAGG